AGACATATGGTCAATATAAAGTGGTATATGAATGACAAGCAAAAGCCCCTGAAGCACATGACCGGTTTCACGCTTCTCGACTCTCACTAGAAACGCGTATCCGGCCAAGTTATTATCATACCTGTGCGGCTTATGTTGTTATCGTGTACGGAAACCGACGGTGATCACGTAAACAATAAAATACCAATATGGGTGCAGGTCATACAAAAGAGCGAACATGCAGGGAAGAACAAACACATGGTTTAATCAGACTTCAATTTAAAAATGTGCTGTTTTCAAAATGTATATGCGAAACGCAGACCAGTGAAGACAACTGTTGATTCTTCTCCACAGAATCATTTTGTTCTTTCGATTCATTGCCCACTCTATCGCTTCCTACTTGTCCTGTTGACATTCGTTTCGTTCTGGTTATCGAATTCTTACATAATCAAGCGAGTGCATAGTTCTCCCAGTCTCTGACCCCCCAATGGACATGCAGACACACACCGATCACTCTTATGACTTCAACCACACGAGGTCTCTTGTGACCTCCATTGACCCTTACTATCGGTTGACCTATGTTCCGTCTACCCTTGTTCTGTACCGGTTCACCGCTTATCACTTATCGATTACTTAACCACCCACGCACATGTGACCTGTTTTGATGGCCCCTTGGGAGTCACCTGTTCATGTACACACACACACACACACACACACACATACACGCATGCATGCGCGCACGCCTGTCGTTTATTAAGAGGTCGAATTGTGAGCGCCCAACTCTCTTTTGATTGGTTCATCTTTTGGGAGCTTCATGTCACTGCCTGGCTGGACTTAATTGTTTGACTCCGTATTAACCTTGTCTTAGAAGCTCATTCGGTGGAGTCCGGTGAATTCTGAGGAAAAACTGTCGAGGCAGTCAGCTCAGATGCTAACTGGTGGATGCGACATGCCTCTGTAAGTTGGATGGGTAAATTGGAATGTGAAAAAGATCAGTGTTATCGGTGTGGCTTCGTAGCTCAGCTGGTAGAGCATGCGCGTACAAAGCGT